CAGGGAGGAGGCTCGGGCTCCGGCCCCGCACAGCGCCCGCGGCGGGAGGGAAGGAGCGAAGAAGGGAGGCGGGCGGGCGGCGGGGCGCGGCGCGGGTGTCCCGCCGGGACGAGGGGGCGGCGGGAGCGGGGGCACCGGTCCCTACTCACTCTCGTCAGGCAGCTGATCCAGCTCCGCCATCTTGAACGAGCCGCGCCGCTTTTTCAAAGGCTGCCTGGCGCGGGGCATTCTGGGGGAGGAGACGGGGCCGGGCGCGCGGCGGGCGCGCGCGCGGGGCGGGGCCTCCGCCCGCGGGCCGTGAGGGGCAGGAACGGGCTGGGCGGGGAGCGCAGGGAACAGCGCCGTCCGCAGCCCGGCCGGAGCGCAGGAGCAGCGTCAGGGAGGCGGAGTGCACGTTAGAGTGCTTCCAGTCTGGTTCTCATTCCCTGCCACTGGCCGGGGCGCCTTCCACTAGACCAGGTTGCTCAGAGCCCAATCCAAACTGGCTTTGAACGCCTCCAGGGCTGGGCTAGGCAGAGCTGCTCTGGGTAAGCTGTTCCAGTCACGCTCCCAGTAAATACTTTGTTCCTAATATCTAACCTAATTCCCCCTTCTTTCAGCTTGTACTCATTACTCCTTGTCCTATCACTACTACAGTTCCTGACAGAGTTCCTCTCTGGCTTCTTTACAGCTCCCCTTCAGACACTGGAATGAGGTCTTCACACAAACTTTCTCAGCCTGCTGTCATGGGGTAGGTGCTCCTATCCTCTTATCCTGCCATGGCCCTCCTCTGGAGTTGCTCCAGCAGCTCCCTGCCATTCGTATGATGTGGGATGAGGGAATGGGTGACTGGAAGTTCAGGATGGGGGGAAAAGGGGCTGGGAGGTGTTGGCTGTCACAAAGGGTCACCCCAAAGCAGCTGTGCTAGCTTTGAGTCTTTAAACAATCCCATTACATTATATCCATCCTCCTTCAGTGAGTAACTACTTTTTGCTAAACTGTGCCTATTTCCCTTGTCACTTTTCGTGAAGGATTGCAGAGGAGAGGCTCCAGAAGAGAGGGATCACAACAATCCCGGCCCAGCCAGCCCCGGCCCCGCTGTCACGCTCCGTGGCACTCCGCCCAGGAGGCGGCTGAAATGCTCACCCAGCCCAAGGCCTGAAGGTCAAGGTCTCACTGGCTCTCACCCAGTGCCAGGGAAAGCCAACAAATCCCAGAAGTGGGTGGCTGTTGCCTAACAAGCTCCTTGTCTTGGCCTGCCCTCTATCATCTCACCCCTGAAAGTTTTCTTCAAGCAGCAGCAGTGGGGTTTTTTTGGTGTAGTTTTCTTAGATCTCTGCACCACAGTGAATTCTAAAGCTTCTGCATCAAGAAATACAAGCATGGAAATACCACCATGAACCACAAGCAGCTTAACTGCTCATGGACCAGACTCTCTACATAGGTTTGACTTTGAGTATCTACTGCTATTATACCAACCAAAATTCTCTTTTTTTAAGATATAAAAATAAGTATGAAAATGCAAATTGAGCCTCAAAATAAATAAACAGTATATCTTAGTCGAGGCTAAGAAGTCTGTGTCACATGTTAAAAATACTGCCAAGAGCACAGTGGTGTAATGCAAAACGGATGCCATGCCTGGTTGTATGCAGCTCTTTGAAAGCACCTAGGTGAAACTAAATATTCTACACAATACAGAAAATGTGTATCTTGGGACATTGGAATAGAATTTAATTTGTGCTCTTAATTTGCTAATGAACTCAGATGTCTAGGCAGTCCAGCAGGTTGAGAGGGGCAGGATATAGGTCATGTTATTAAACAATTTTAATACATGAATAAATAAAATCAATGCTGCCCTTGTGCTCAAGGGGAAAAAAGCCAGTTTTTAAGGGAAGAAACAAACTGAGTGAAATGCTTTAGAAATTCCCCCCCAGGGCTTTCTATGTACATTGTAGCAGAGCTAAAAAAAGAAAAAACGAAAAAAAAAAAAAAAGGAAAAAAGAAAATACAAAGCCTAGCTTACATTTCCAGCCCCCTTTCCAGGTCATTTTGAAAGACTGTTTAAACAGCCTTCCCTCCCCTGAGCCCCCAAAGGGCCTAAGACACTTCAGTCAGAGCTTTCATACTGCACAGCTCCAAAGAAAGCTGCTACAGTAGACAGTTAGAAAGCACTGTAGGCACAAAGCTAAAGAAAGTAGTAACAAAACACAACTAAATAGTAATCTGTGGCATTCCAAACACCAACGTCCCCAACCATTAAATCCTGCACAATTTTCCCCTTTTAATAAAACACTTCCACCACCCAAAATGCCTGACACGGACCAGACCTTCCAGGCTCAGTTAAACACCGTGTTAATGACACCAGTATTTCTCTGTATTTCAGCTGTGCTCCCCTTGTGCCAAGGGCTGTATGGAAATGCTCAGCTAAGACTGGTGACACTGAGACTTCCACAGCTGACAGAAGACACTGATCTCCAGCGAGGTTTTCACTGCTGTGCTCTGTAAACCTTATCATCAGGTCTGGCTGCAGCGGTGCCCAGAGCCACCCCGGTGCTACAGCTTTCCCTGAGCAAGGGCTCTGCAAGGGAGGAGTGAAAAGTGTTCTACAACACAACCAACATTTCGCAAGAGTCCTCAAGAGTGTGAATTTCTACAAGGGAAAAAGGAATCAAAATCAGTGCCTTTCAGGGTGTCTTTGTAGACTACAGATGAAAAAGGTGAGAGAGATTTTTCCCCTCCCCAAACATCTCCTGCCAATCATCTCACAAATTAATAGGTGTGAAGGTAGAATTCCGCTCCCAACAGCACAATGATGATTTTTCCTTTATTTCATTCCAACAGCTGCACTTGGAAAATATTTAACAGAACCCATTACCATTCACTCTGTTGAAAGGGTAACAATTAACACTGTATTATGATTCCTGGATTAAGAACCGTTTACATCTTGGCCTTTAATGAATGCTGCAGTATCTCCGTGTTCTGGTTTTTCGTTTGTCCTGTGCTCGCTGTTTCCAAGTCACACAAACCGTTTACAATGGCCCAGCCAGGGCCATTGGTCAGCGTGCACACAAACGCACAATGTTTTCAGTGCATCCTTTTCCCGTTCTGGCAAATTTGCAGTTTGCACTTGGGTGACGTGGAAATGACACCACTCTTCCGAGTGGCAGGGTGACTGAAAACATCCGCCCTCGCTGCCAACAACCTGCCGGAGGTGCTGCTGACTCACCTGCTGGCACAGCTGGGGGAGGTCTCTAAATGGCTGCGCCGCTGCCATTCGCTCTCGCCAGGGTCACGTTAGGCAACTGCTCCTAATGGTGCGTGCTGAAATGCTGCAGAGCACTGCCCGCTCCCATTGCTCCTCAGCTGCTGCAGGTGATGGTAAGACATGGGTTACAGCACCTACTGACCAATGCATTCACAGTCCTGTCAGCACGCAGCAGGTACTGCTGCGTCCAGGGGACAGCTACGCTGTCATTTTCTCATTCCCCTAGGCAGGCCCTGGCAGTAGGAAGAAAAGCACAGACAGCTGGCAGAAAAGCGTGCTCTTTAGTCACTGAAGCACCTTCTTGTGAAGTCTGAGTCCTGCTGCATTAATCACACACTTTTTAACGAGGGGGTGGAGAAAGCAGTTTTTTCCCCTTTGAGTTCTTGGGAAGCCATTCCTTCTTCTCGCCTTGCCAGTCCCTGTATATCTCACTTCTGTAGAAGTGATCTGCAATGCCCACAACAGGCCCACATGCTAAATTCACACCAGAACAAAATAAAATCATCACAGCAATTCATCTTGGCTGGCACCTACATCTGCATTTCTTCTCAAAGGTGCCACTTCTCCAAAATGACCATTTCTGGAGAGGCAGCCTGGCATTAATTTTAAAGTGAAAGCACACACAAGCTCTTGTTCAGATGCATGTAGTCCACAACAGTGGAAACTATTTTTATGGGTGTAACAGGAGCGTGAGTATAATGGACTAAGTTAGGGGCCTCAACATGTACATAAAAGCAATTCAGGCAAAACATTCTGGGATATAAATTGGCTGCAATAACACTTCAGCAGACAATTACATCATTATGTCCCCAGAATTCAGAGTGAGGTCTGTAAGTCTCCCAGAAAGCAAGCTGAAGCAGAGACTTAAGTAGTTACAAACACTTCAGGCCCCATTTAAGAACAGGAGTACAATTATTTATGGCATTGACAAAGTTTCATGTGTCCAGAGGTCTTTTTCATATAGAAATTATTTGTTTTGGGGTTTCCCCCTGCACTTTCCTCTGATTAGAAACTGAAGGAGGGCAGGGGCAGAATATAATTGTTTTATGGCTAAAGTACTAGGATGGGCAACTCGTGCTTTAATTTTTTTTTTCTCAGACATTTTTTTCCTGCATGAACTCAGGCGAGTCACAAAGAATTTACACTGCCTGCCAATCAGTAAGCCCAGGCTGCCTTCCTTCAATTAACTGCACGGACTGTCTTAATGTCTGTGAGCCACTGTACAACAGAGCATGCAGCCATGCTAAATAAAGATAAAATGGTTAAATATTTATAAATTGCTGCTTTTGGCAGTTTTAACATTTAGATCAGAAGCCATTCCTCAACATGTCTCCCCTGAAACAAAGCACAGGATGTCATGGGACCTAATGTCTTGAAAACTCGTTTCTTTCAAGTGCTTTTGACAGAAATGGGACTGCCTGTTCATCCAGCTCTGCTCTGTGCTTGTACTGCCAAAGCAGGGCTTTCAGTGATTGTCACTGCACTGCTCCTGCCAGCCTGGCCCCGGGGAGAGGCCGTTCATCCACTTGGAGAGGCCGTTCATCCGCGGGGAGAGGCCGTTCATCCGCGAGGAGAGGCCGTTCATCCGCTGGGAGAGGCCGTTCATCCGCTGGGAGAGGCCGCTCATCCGCTGGGAGAGGCCGTTCACCCGCTGGGAGAGGCCGTTCACCCGCTGGGAGAGGCCGTTCATCCGCTGGGAGAGGCCGTTCATCCGCGGGGAGAGGCCGTTCATCCGCTGGGAGAGGCCGTTCACCCGCTGGGAGAGGCCGCTCATCCGCGGGGAGAGGCCGCTCATCCGCGGGGAGAGGCCGTTCATCCGCTGGGTCCAGCGGAACCAGCGCTCACTTCCCAGAGAGAGGATCTGCTCCGCTCTGACAAGCTGGCAGCAGAAGCAGCGCCTGGACTGACTTCAGATTTCACTGCAGGACAGTGACAGGGCTCTCCCAGTCTCCACAGGGCACCTGCTGCCTCTTCAGCAAGTCCTGTAGCTTTTCCTGCTGTATTTGTGCACTTAGGGACAGCTTGGGATGTACTTCCTTGTGCTGCAATTGTAACTGAGCACTGTTACACAGTTACTGTGTTACACTGTTACACAGCACAAAGCACTCCCTGTGCTACTTGCGTTGGAGCAACAGGGAACTTTCAGCCACCTCTGAGGGAGCATCAAAAGCAGCTGCCCTCAACTCCTGGTCCCAAACTGAACTGTAAACTGCTTTTTTAGACGGGGAAAAATCATCTATCTTATAACTAAATTGAATAAGTTCTCATGTTCTCTTTCAGAGACTGACAAGATCATACTTAAGTGACTTAACCAAAGGGCTTTTTGGAAGCAAAACAATGATTAGCCACTGGTTAAGCTACTTAAGAGGCAGAAGACAGACTACTCTCCTTACTTCCTCTCAGAATCCATTATCACCAATCTCAATCAATTTTTTCTGTTGAGCTGTCCTCAAGACATACAACTTACCCACTCCTACATTTCCTTCTCTCCCTGAAAGCAGCTTCATTTTTCATCGATCACTCTTCAACCTCTTCTTATCAGGGGTCCTGGGAAGACCTGCACCATTAGCACCCACTTTGGCTTTAACTCCTTTTACAAAAGGCCCTGGGACACAACAACATTTTAGGAAATAGATCTGCTGTTTCCACATAGTTTACTAAAGACTGAAGCCACCACTGTCAGAATGAGCTTGAACTGTCCCTGTCTTGGGAATTAGCCATCACTTTCCCTAATGCCTCAGAGAAATCAGTAACTTTTGAAGAGAATAATCTGATGTTCTATGGTTAAATGCTCCCATATTGCTCAATGACTAAAAGTGAGAAGTAACAAACATGACGAAACATTGAAATTATCAGTTTGTATTGCTGTTTTGAGACAGGCATTTCAAGACCACCGACAGAGTAGCAACAAACCTCACTCCAGGTCCTGATGAACGAAGCTTGAGCCCCAGCTCAACTTACAGCTTTGCTAGGACGTGAGTCTACAACAACCAACTTACATCATGTTGAAGGTAGGTATTTAAAGGAGGTTTATTGGGGCTAATACTAAATTCAAACAGCTACAAGCTCATTTTCCATGTTTACCACACCAACTGTTGACAGATGAAGTCTCAGTGGAAAGTCCAAATTTTAATTTCACCGTAACTTCTTGAAACTTGGCTACAGATTTCAATATTTGGCATTCGATCCTCGAGAGAGATACCACGTTTAAGAACATTCTACCAAATACATTTAAATTATGACTCAAAACCAAAACAATTTGGAAGTTTTGAAACATAAAACTGTTAGTATGAA